TATGAATTAAGTGGTATTAAGCTTGCAGAAAATATAAAACCTAAACAATTTAAAGCTTTTATTTAAAAATTGGGAATCAACTATATTTATATACAAAAGAAACACAATGGAGCTGGCAAATTAGATTGCTTATCCAAATAAGTTTCTATTTTTAAAGAGAACTGTCAGTAAGATCACTTCTGTGTGACTAGTATATGCATATGCTGAAGTACAAACATACGTACTTCCTGTAAAAATTCAAAATCAACTGTCCTGTTAATAATCCCCTTCCTAACTTATCCAAATGTTTCTTGGAAGCAATTACCTCTGATAGTACAACACACAATTATATTAGCATCTATTGATTAGAAATATTTTGACACAGCAAATATGTTCTCTACTCATTAGAAGGGGAAGAAAATAAACTATCATAATACCTTCAGATGAGTGCCAGCTTACCACTTTTAGCTAGTAAGCCTTAATCTGAACACCAATGTTTAAAAAGTGCCATTTGATGGTATAATTCTATAAAGCAAATTGATCTCTTGGGAAATCAAAGATGGTTTTGTTATATTTCTACTGAGTGATTCTCTTTCTAGTGAAGAAAATCATAGTAACACGTAGATTTGCTGACGAGATCTGCATGCAGTCAGCATCACGTATCTCCAAAGTCTGTAGTCAGCTTGGGGCAAAGGTGAATTATCTGGTTTACCGGGCTCAGATAGAGGTCACTGCTTGGATTGCAATTCTGACTTGCCTGTAGTTTATTTTGTGTAAATGTGGAAGTAGCAACTTCTGAATCCCTGTAGTGAAGCAAATCTTATCCTCTGTTTGAAGCTGGATTTACCCTGAGTTTCCATGATGAGATCTTATAAGCAGAATTCTTTTCTTGGCACATATAAATATGGAAAGATTTACCTTATGGCTCTCCTTTGTGAATCATAGTGCATTACAAAATGTGGCTTTTGATATATCAAGGCATAATTGGGATGTAGTGTGGACATGTCTATTTTTAAAATGTGCAAGCTGAAACACAAGGCAATTATTTTTGTGAAATAAAGCCCTCAATAACAGACCTTATTCTAAAGAATCACAGTTTCAATGTCTGGAAAGTGGATTTACACTTTTGCATCTATAGAAGTAGGAACATACTTTAATTATAAAGCTATTATTGTGTTAGTAAGTTAGAATCAAGGAAACACTATTGAACAATTTTTTGAGAATAAAATTGTGTGCCAATTCTATAGACAGTGAGAAAGAAAATGTTTAGGTCACAGTTTAATGTCCTTGCCAACTTCAAAATATCCAGCAGAGCAAAGAACTAGCCACGTGTCCAATAGCCCTGGAAAGGTCATTGTCTGGAGGCAGGATGATCACATACCATACTGCTGGGTGCTTTTATGTCACTAAAGAGCATATTTCAAAACAAAATTCTCCAGGTCTCAGAGTTGGCAATTCATAAAGACAGAGTAAATTGCCAAAAACTATCTCTCAAACAGGAGGTGCTTAATGAAACATGCTGGACATCTCAGATACTCCAAGAATTGTTTTCCTTACCTACAAGTAATTCTTTACCTACAAGAATAAAACAAATAGATCATTTGTCGGCCTCAGGAGAAAGGCAGGAAAGCATAATTGTTTTTACTTCTTGACTTAATAGGGACATTGAGTCACTGATTACTCATCTTTAGAATCACCATTTTACCCTGCTGGTTTTAAGTGGGTAGTTTGCCACAATGGAAACCTCATTTAGTTTTATTACAGAAGAAGGTATTCAAAGACAATAAAATTTGTTGTCAAACTGGGGTTGGCTCAGCAGAAAATGATTTGAAAACATCCTTTGCTTTGTTAAGGTGATTCTTTATCTATGTATCAATCCTAGAAAGGATAAAAATAGAAATAATGACATAATTATCACTGCATTTAGTTGGCAAGTATGAAACGTCAGTAGACTTAAGTAATAAAAACCTGAGTTTGACCGTAAAAATGTACATATTAAGACAGAATGTCACTCATATGAAAATATAATATTAGGGTTGCATGACTCTATAACAAAGAGCTTTTATTTTGTTGTTGTTGTTATTATATTGATGTATTGTTGTTTTTGTAAAAAAAATAGTGAAAATGGTAAGATCTAGCATGTATCTTAAAAGATCTTCAGATCATAAGGATAGGGGAAGGGCGAGGATAATCAAGGAAAATCTGTATTATTTTTCCAGGAACCCCTGATACCATCTTCTAAGATAAAAATCTGAGAGACAGTCAGATTTGGTAAATTAAGGACTGAGAATTTGAATTTTCTTTTTACTTTCATATGTGAGATACTGGCCAGCTGTGGTAGCACAGGCCTCTAACTACAGTCCTCAGCAGGCTGTGGCAGGAGGATCATTGCAAGTTCTAGACCAGTTTGGGCTACAAAGGGAGCCTCAAGGCCAACCTGAGCTGCATAGAGAGATCCTATCTCAAAAAGACAAAAATAAATAAATAAATAAATAAATGAATAAATAAGTTTTTAAAAACGGGGTTTTAAAAATGTGATGTACAATGTGAGAGAGGACAAAACATACCTCCTAATAGGAGAGACCTTCCTATTTATAATTAATAGGCATTTATAATTAATAGGCAGCACAATTGGTTAAAAATATTATAGGCAGTCAGACAGAGGTGGTCCCTCAAAGGACCCAGTGCAGAAGGCCAGGTACCTTGCAACCATAGGGGAGAAAATCACCTCCCACTGTGGCTCAGATCTGAAGACAAAAGGCCAAAGCAAATCCACCCCTATCTTAAGGATTGATAGTCTAAATAGTTCTCTTTCTCCCTAAGGAAGTCAGGAGTAACTAGCCAACCTCCTACAGGAAGAGTCACTGCTGTTAAGCATGCCTGCTTGCTGTGTGACTCACTTCCCTATTTGTTCCTGATTTAATGGACTTTACCTGAACAATGAATTTCATTGGTTGATCACAGTACTGTCCCACCTTGTGAGTTCCTATTTTTCCCCACCTTGGACCGGTCTCACCTCATGGTTTTACTCTGTAAAAGTCCCTAGAAATGACAGAGTCCTTGGCAAACTGCTCAGGACCCTTTCTGTCTCTCTCTCAGACAGAAGCTTCCTTTCCTTCAATAAAATATTCTATTCTTTATCTCCATTGTTTCTAAAGCTCATTCTTCAATTTTAGAGAACACGAACTTGTACTGGGACATCTAGCAGGTTTGGAATTTCATTCCCTTATATCAGTAATTTGAATAAACTGATTAGAAGATCACATTTAAAATGAAGCTATCTTGTTTCAGTGTTTTTAACAGAACCATGGTTTATTTCCTAATTACATAATGTACTCATTAAGGTGGGCATCTCTCCTGGGCAACTGTTAAATAGTATCTTAGACTTCTGGGTTCCATCTGTATTTTGACAGTGTGATAAAACAGGCTTTCTTCAACACACAAACTAGTTTTGCTTGAAATCTATATTTACCCTGAAGCAGTCCTACAGACATGAATAGGATTTTACTGGATTCTAGTCTATTGAGAATAATTTTTTCATAGTGGTCAACCAATAATTCAAAAATCTTTCCTTTTGATCTTCCCATCGTGGAACTTAGAAATTATAGAAGGATACTATATGAAATGCTTTTAAGTAACCATCATTGATTTACAGAAAACACACAAAACAATTTAAAGAATTTAAGATATTTGAGGCTCTAAAAATTTAACCAAATATAGACATAAAATTATGTAATACATAATTAAGAGTTAAAACCCTTACCTATGTTCATACAAAAAGCCTAAGTACCCAAGAATAAGTAGCACATTGAAGAAATATACTTTACTTATGTATATTTACAGTAATTCCATAAACTATTAGTGTCCCGGACCTGACTATGAAGTTGGTATTACATACTTAAAAATACTGAGAATATGTGAATTCTATTCTTTTAAGTGCATGGCATTGTCATATATTTGTCAATATTATAAAATGTATTTTTATTTGCTAACTTTTGGGTAACTGAAGTAACTTCTGAAAGCTACATTTTATGTGTAAAATGTTTGATTTTCCTGAGTTGCTAAGTTTCTTTACCACGGATGTACATTGCTAGTGTTTTATATTTGTTGTTTTTGTAAAGAAGCTGAAAGGTTGATACTATGCTTTTAAAAAGGTAAAGTAAATAGAAAGACACCTTCTTTTTCCTGGTGGCAGGTTTAAGGAAAGTGAATATGGATAGAAATAGATTAGCTTCAATAAATGAGAATCACCTTGGAAACTGAGGGATACACTTCCTTCCTGGCAGCTTGTCCCTGTCACAAGTCATCTACAGGTAACACTGATTAACAAATTATGTACTCAAAACGAAAATCATATGCAGCTTTAAGGAATTGCTGCTGGAAGAAACAAACTTAATACTTATGATGAAATTGGATACACAATGATGCAAAGGCAAACCTTCCAACTCTTCCCAAGATTCAATATTCCAAGACTTTTTAGGCACATTTCCACTTATCTTTTATGATTATTATTTGTAGAAAATTAATAAAAACTTTTAATTGATTTGATATACACATCTTATATCTAAAATACCATTTGCTTTAGACCCAGTACATGAAAATCCCAACGGAATGGTAGTGTGAACTTCCCGGTGAATAATTCTTCGGTGGCCACTACCCCACTAAAGATAGTGAGGTAGAATCAGGGCTTCTATTACAAAAGATACTTTCAGTGAATTTAATCTCTTAAGAAACTTCGGCTCCCTTCTGTGAACTTAAAACTCAGGAATGCTAAATCCCGCATATATGTTCATCTATAATCATAATAATGGGGATCAGGAAAAAAGTTAAATCACATAAATTCAACATTCAATTGAAAACTGTACATCTGGGTTTCCTTTATGAAATACTGTCTTCTTTCAAAGAACAGATGACAATGTAAAAAGATACAAGTGTTCATTTGAAATTTTGTATTTCCCTTTTTTCTGCTTCAATTATGACTATTAAGCACTTACAGGAAATCTAAGACAAAAATGACTTACCCACTATTGGGCATGGTGGCATATGCGTTTAGTCTCAGGAGGCTGAGGCAGGAGGATCTCTGTGAGTCTGAGGCCAACCTGGACTACCAGGTGAGTGCAAAGCCAGTCTGAGCAGTGTTGCAAAGCCCTGTCTGGAGAAAAAATATTACAACAAAATTTACCTGTCAGTCATTGGTCCTTCAGCTGTAAATTAGGGAGCCAGTACATCCTTATCAACTTTGTATAAAAATTAAATGAGAAATTTTCTACTGTTCGTTTGATATTTCATGAAATAACCAGGCAATTATTTCTTTTCTCCGAGTGTGAAAGGGCTGGTTGTACTAAGGAGAAAAAATCATTCCTGTTTGTGGTGAAAAAACATTCAATACATGAATAAATATATTTATTTCGTAGCTACAAGCACAGCACTTGCCATGTGTCAGTTTCTGTTTTAAGTGCTTTACAGATTTGTTTTCATTAAATTCTCATAGAAAACCTTTGAACAGAGAACAATTTTCACATTTTACAGATCAGGTAGACTGAGGTACAGATCATCTGTGAGGGACTCAGCATTCGGAGGAATACAAGCAAACCTGCACACTGAGCCCCACACTGTTGCTCTGTGGATTTTTAGATATTAACAATGGTAATGTTTGCTCAAGACAATTAGTTATTTGATTACTAAATGACACTTATTGTTATACAAGTATCGCACCATTTAAATTCTGTCCCAAATAAGTAGACATTCAAAGCAAATGTCTGTAAAAGCATGTCATAAAACAGCCATCAGTTGCCTCTTTTATGGCTGAGTATATTGTTTGAATTGTAGATTTACATTTTAGGGACTCACTCTACAAAGTGTTTAAAAAAAAAACTTGTATCAATCTAACATTCCTTGACTAAATAAAATGTGCTAGTCCTTGACTTAGCAATATTTTTTATTAATTCATTTTATTCTTAAATACATAAACAAAATAGTTGTTTTTCTCCCTTATTATACTCTTTTAATCACAATTTGTGATTTGGATATTCTCATTGGACCTATGAAGAGAACTCCTCTTCTCCTTCCTCCTCTTTTTCCTCTTCTTCTTCTTCTTTTTTGGTGCTGAGGATCCAACTCACATCCTCACGCTTATGAGGCAAGCACCTGAGCCACTGAGCTAAATCCCTGGCTCTGAGCATCTTGAGATATATACAAAGCTCCTGCATTTTTGTCCTTGCATCCTCACAGGTAGAAAGTCTCAATACACTTTTATGTTTCTCTGAAGTATGTAGAGAAATGTAATAGACATATTGGTTTTACAAACTTTGGTGGCAAAAGATAGAAAAAGTAACATTTCCAGTTGTCAATACATTGAAACGATAGAAGATTTATTTGTAGAGAGCCTCATTTCCTTTTAGAGGTATTTTCTCATTATGATATGTAGACTATCTTTTCATGGCCTTTAAGTTGTACAGCGGCTATTTAACGCTTAAAAACAGTTTCACAGGCTTATCAATGGACAGCAAGAATTCATGTGTAACCAAAGCCTCATTTGAACAAAAATAATTCTTTCTAGTTTCACTGATACTGGGTTAGAAAAATGGCATTTATCTTTTGCCACATAGTATGGTCAATGTGATTTGTTAAAAATTGTTTTCCACAGTCTTCCAAAGTATCCTACACTAGCACCAAGACTGCAGCTTTAGTTATAATTAACCTATGTAACAAGAAATGAAATAGACAACCATGCAGAGTACTGAAGAGATTGAAAGAAGCACTGTCTATTGTATTTCTCAGAGAATATTAAATTAAAATTCAAATTCTTCCTACGGACACATTGTTACAGGAATAAAAAAATAGCACAAACAATCCATTTCAGGACAAAGATTTAACAAAAATAGGAAGGTTGATTATAATTGAATATTCCCTATGGATATCTCAGAAGCTCTGCCTTAGTATATTTCCTATTGACAGGTGGTGGTGTAAATTAAATGTGGTATTATGCATTCAAATTGAATTTCAAATACTCATCATCCAAAGTGTGACTAGCCCCAATAATGACAGTCTAAAGATCATAATGAGACTAGGTACCGTTTTCCATTCATAGTGTAGTTTTATTGGTGGGGAGGGTAAGAGTTGGAGATTGGATTCATAATTTTGTTATAATCTTTATTGCCTAAGAAACTCACTCTGTGAAAGAACTCTCCTGAATATTAATCTTATGCTGACTTTCTTTGAATTAATGACAGACAAAAGGCCAACTGTCTTCCCAAACTGCATGGGCAATCCACAAAAACATTTTCCTAAGTTTGGGCTACTCCATCAGTTACTGTTTAACTGGTTGCATAAGAACTGGGATGGTGGTGAGTTTTCTAAAGCCTATGTTTCTGTCTCCGTCTATGTTGTCTCTTTGTCTTCCCCTGTCTTTATCTTTGTCTCTGTCTCTATCTGTTTTTGTCTTCTGTTTTTCTCTGTTGCTCTGTCTCTTACACACACATACTCACACACACACACACACACACACACACACACACACACACAGAATGAGGCAGTACAAAAGAAAGCAGACCTTAAAAAACAAAGAATAAAAGAAGCTTCTGTCTCATACCCCTATGTGTGATTTCGATTGCATGAACCCTGGCTCTCTTTGGGAGACACACTGCGGACCTCTGATGTAGAATTCCAACAAAGGTGTTCATGTGCCTGAGTGCACAGATAACCACATTACATCCTGTGTCATCACGAATCACAGATACCCTTGTAAAACTTTCCATTATTTCTCAAAACGAGCACTGTAGATTACCTGCATTCGAAAAAGCACCGAGATAGGGAAAGGCAGTGCTTGGTGTATAATCCTGAACCTGGGATCTACCCCAGTCCTCCTAATTCACAAGTTTTTGAATCAAAGCCTGAGAAACTGTACTTTCATAATACTGTCTATAGGTATGTCTAAGATATGTTAAAGTGTTAGAATTATTGGAGCAAAGAAGAAAAATCACCATCTGGCAACACATTCATCACAGCAATACAATCATCTGTCGGAGTCTCAGCACTGAGACATTAAAGTAGAAATGTCATGTGATTAGCTATTTTGCTGATGAGATTAGCATATTATTTTAGGTGTTAAAGGATGCATTTTCTACCACAAATGAGAAATTCTATGAGAAAATAGAACTTTAATGCCACACTAATTGTTTCAATTATTTCTAGTTTTTAATAAGATTAAAATCATGATTAATTTTGTTTAAACTTTTAGCAAATTATCAAATATGAAAAATGAACAAAAACTAGCGATAGTATATATCTGATAGTATCTATCGATAGTATATATCTGATAATATATATCAATAGTATATATCTGAATTCAAATACAGGACATGACTTGTAGCTTTACTAAAACAAATGTCCATTTACTTTAATTTATTTCTAAATAATTGCCTAAATTTTATACCACGAAAACTGATTATATTAGCAGCATCAGGATGAATTTCTATCTCAACAGAGTTTTTAATTTTTTAAAAAGTAATGACATGCATTTGGGATTATTGAGCACAAATAGAAGAAAGGCAATGAAATGTAAAGCATTTGTAGGGATTAAAAAAAGGTATATCTTTATTACAACTCCTAATTTAATTAATGTTTTCTCAATGCCAGGTGGTCAGCTTATTTTAAATGTTAACACAAAGAGAATAATATGACACTTAATAATTAATGATCTGAATCAGCGTAGCACTGAAATATTGTATTAATATTATATAATAATCATTACAAAGATAATACAAAGAGAAAATGAGATGAAACAAGTATTTTACGCTATTCTAGTGAACATTTAAAATTTTCTTAGGATTAAAAAGAGGGATCTTTTTTATGCCTTCAGTCATTGTTTGAGAAGTTCTCATGAATTTGAAGAAAAAGTGTGCTATATTGCTACCCCGAGTCTTTTATAGGTAGAAGGTAATAAAAAGTGTGGGAAAACAATACACAGTTGGAGCCCAATCCTCAGCATCATAATCCAGAACTACTCTTCTAGCTATGAGAACATTTTTTTTTTGTCACTTAACATTAATTAGCTTCTATCGACCTGTCAGTCCTCACTTGAAAGAGATGATTTTCCATATGTTAGCCTTTACAAGAGTGATAAGCAAGTGCTAAATATACTTCTGTCTACTGCAATTTATTCTGACACTTTAGTTATTGTTGTGACATACAAACAAAATGCAGGTCACAATCAGGAGAGCCCTTAGAGTCTGACACTGTGATATGTAGCAAATCACTTAACTTCTCTGAAACTTTATTTTTGTTTGAAAATCAGTGAATATTATTTACCCGGTGCATTTATACATTTGAACATATCTAAACAATCAATGCATTTTGAGTTTTTAGCAATGTGTCACACCCGAAAACAGAAGTTAAGCAGTTTTCCTAGCATTGCATGCATGAACAAGAAAAGTGTTTGAGGATTTTAAAGTGTCACAACTAGCAAACACCACTATTTACATATGTGTAACTGTAAATACTGTCAAAAATTTTAATTAAAAAGTCCAGAAAATATCATTGAGGCAAAGATCAAGCCAAGAGTAAATTATTATTATTTTTTTTTTTTTTTTACCCCCGGTCCAGGGATTCACACTTGTAATTCCAAATACATAGGAGACTAAGGCAAGAAGATGACAAATTTGAGTCCTGCCTGGGAAATATAGCAAAACATTTTTATTTTCTGTCTCAAAATAAAATATAAAAAACACTACTGGGGTATCTCAGTGTTCCCAAGTTCTAATTCCATTCACAAAATGTTTTTCATTCAAAGTCGTATAAATATGATCTCTAACAACATAAAATAATAGTATCAGCAAGTGCATTCAGACAGCACGGAGAGGTACGATCAAGATTGCTATGCTAGCATAGCAATTCATAATCAGGATCTCTTCACAGAAATTCATTTAATTATTGAAACAGTAAAGTAAGATAGAAGAGTATAAATAATAATAACAGAAAAGTGTGAAAGAGAAATGAAGCAAGGCTAAAAACATCTTTTAATTTTTACTAGAAAAAGAGTTTCCCTTGAAATCTCAAATTAAGCTTTGTGCACTGAACTGATTAGCCTCAGGGGTTGTATCTACAGCTCTGTACCTCTTTTTATTGACATTCACTTATTTTCCTGCCTTAGAT